TAATGTTCTTCTGTGCAAAAGTGAACTTTGAACATGTAATTTTTATTTTAGTTTAATTGACTTTATAATTAGTTAATAAATCCTTGGATTTAGATATTTATTGTCCAAAAACTTCACTTTTGTCCAATAGCAAGAAACACAATCTAACTTAATCTCTATATTCATCAGATTTTTGCTGAGTACTATCAAGGAATTATTTAACTCGGTTATGACAATTTATCAGTGACATTTCAGAGCTCTGATATATAATGATACTTTTCATTAACAGAAGTAGTGTATACTTCTGCTCCAGAAGTTTCCATTAGATTTATAGTTAATATAATACAATTCCTAATCCATTTTCATCCTTGTTAACACTAGTAATTCGGTCTCAATTGTCTAGTGACATTTTAGATATAACCGTTAACAGTAACGGTATAACCAAACTGCATATTATCTTTTGCCTTCAACGATTTCTGTTAAATGTAGAACGTCGTTTCTGTACATACGTTATTAGAATAAATCCTCTTAAATAAAATGGCGCTTGTCGTGCAAGTATGGTACGCTGTATCAATACTAAACGGCTCTGAACGAGAATGTCACTAAACAACTAATGAATATTGAATTTACGTGGACGTATTCTCGATGTTGCATAATTCTGTAGTCTTGTCACTAACGCATTCATCCGTCGAATCAATGGCGGCCAGGAATATTAGGTTAAAGGGAAGAAAGGGAATTATGAGAAACTGCGCTTTTGTCCCATGTTAACGTATTTCCTGAACTTCGCAGTCGTCGTATCCCGGAAACAAAGAATATTGTAGCTCGTTATTCGACTAATTAGTTCGGCCAATGCGATTAATAAGAAATAAACGAGGTACGGTAATTCTTAATAAGTTGGAAGTACCATTAACCGTAAATTTCCCTTTGATAGACTTAATTTTATCGTATAATCATATCGTAATCGTATTTCATATTAAGTTGAAACAAAATGTCGCTACATCTTAGTTGAAGAATCAGTTTTTAACGATCGGCGTCTTTTGTTATTAGATCAGGTCAGCATGACCTTGTTATGCATGAAGTTTCATCACTGCGACGTAATGCAAACTAATCGGAAATCACTCGAAGTAGAAACAATGGGGACATTTGTTTATTTCACTAGAAACGGGAGATTTCTGGTTTTAACTAGTAACATCTTTATTTCACGGACATTTTCTTACTCATAACCTCTTTGATCTTATTTCAGGTGTATGTTTCTCATTTATCCACTGAATATTCTTCATTTTCTCTATTTATTATAAATAGTAGAAAGAGAATTTAAAAATTCCCCTCAAACTCCAGTCTACGGGGATATTTCTTACTTGAAATCTTTTGTAGTTTCACGGGCGTTGATGTACCAATTGTTACCAACAGAATTCGGTATACACTGCAAAATCACTAGGAGTAAAAAAAATTACGGCCAGAAAGACCCGTTCTGTGTAATTTACGATCACGCCTTCCGCGCGTGAATAATTCAGTAGCATCTTTCTTTTTGCAGGGTCATCGAATTAGAAAAAAAAAAAAAAAAAAAAAAAAAAAGAGGCAAAGCGTTTTATATTCAAGCTTCGACGTCGAACAACTTTCAATTTAAGCGCAGGAATCGAGTACTCGACCACGGGGGAATTGGACCCGGGAGGGGGAGAGGGGAGTGTGGAGGGGCGATTTTTCATCCTGGCCACGACCGGAAATAAATTAGACCACGGCTGTTCGTACACAACTATTTTACAAGTTCCGCCGGAGCGCCAGCCGTTGCTTTCAAATGATCAATATGCACGCCGCGAGATAAATAAATTTCAGCGGCTTGGCCGCAGCCTTTAGAATTCGCGATCCGAAATCGGCGTCGTTTGTCACACGCGCGGACCGCATAAACGCGTGGAAAATACAAGGGCCGATTCGATCTTACCTTGCTGCCGAATATCAGGCAGAGCAGCAACGTCACCGTTAGCTGAGTGTGACAGAAAAATATTAGGTAGAGTAGATCCGGATTGGCCGGCGACTGCAAGAACAACCTGCAAACAGAAAGATTGCGCCCTCTCAATATCGTCTCCGGGACGACCGAGTTACTTTCTTTTTTTTTTTTTTTTTTTTT